AACAAAAAAACAAACAAAAAAAAAACCTTACAAAATTCTTACCCCTCCCACAAGCAATTTTCTTGACCTCCATTGCATGTCCTTGAAACTGCTCATACATTTCCCTCCCTAACAACAGCAACATCAAATTGACATGATTCCTAATCTTTTCTCTGCTGCCTACAAGATTTTCAAGCCAAAGCAGTGAGAATATTGCCATCAGCTACTAGCAAATATCAAACATTGCAGAATGCTGCAACAGCTCGGCACCACAAACTAATAGAAGCATAGCAAATCTGTCCCTTCTCTGCTCTATGGGAAGCTAGGCTAGAGAACAAGAGTCAAATTTAGAATCTGCCTCTATCCACAAAACACTTTATGATCTTGACTTGGGATACCCAAAATATTATCTTAAACTCTGGAATGTGGACTTTGACAGACAACTCTGCTCAGAAACAACAGATCCACTGCAAACTGTTAAACCAACCGCAAGACTCTCTCATGTACACAAGCTTAAAACTATAACACAAATTCACAGACTAATGCATCAAATATCACCAGCTATCCATGTCAACATAGGCCCCACTTTTGAAATTGCTTTAAATATTTGAGCAGACAATACCAAAACCCACATTTTGGGGGGCGGGAGGCAGAAAGCGTGAAACATGACACATCCTAATCATATCACTTACTGAATTTTTGGAAGATGCTCAAAAACTACTGTTAACAAGAACAGCACAAAAAAAGTCTCTAGATCAAAACTGACCAGAGTGAGCACTGATCAGTACATTCTGCTGTTGCTTAGCAAAAGCTACATTCAGCAGCAAAGCTACAGAAGCTGTCTACCATACTTCAGGGGGGAGGGGGGAAAACTATTCACACCAAATCACTGTACAGGTTTCGCTCACTTTATGCAGAATCTGTATGTGCAAATTCATTCTTATGCAATGACCTTTTTTATACCAAAACTTCGTTATATGCAAGGTAAGTTCACTCTTACGCAATTGGTGTGGTGAAAGCCCGCAGTCAGCCGCTTTGTGCAGTGCATTGTGGGAGTGATGTGCACCAAAATATAGTCTCCTGTGTGGATCTGTGTTCCTCACTTGTCTGCAACACATGTTTCTGTAGTTGCCATCCCTATTACAATAGTGCCCTGTGCTTGTGTGTAGTGTCTGTTGTTGGTGAGTACCAAAATTGTCTTGTAAGTGTGGTAGAAATGGGTCTCAGGATCAGTACAGTCAAGGTCTTGGAACATATCCCTATTTGTTACATTGTAAAGTGGGTTCCCTTTACGGAAATTCGAGTTATGCAACGTTTTCCAGGAACTCATGTACAACATAAAGCGAGGGAAACCTATACACGTGGCATTAAGTTGCCTGGCTTCATAGCTAGTCATAAAAGCTTAAGGAAACAAAACTTAAGTTTCAGAGCACCTTAATAATTACCCTCTCCCTTCATTTGCCACCAATAAAAGAGAGAGTCCTGGTCATTAAAATAGTTCTTTGTGCACTTCTACTGCCTTAAAAAGTAAAGACTATCTATCGTGTGAGGTCTGGGCAGAGTTGATTTAAGTGTCTACTGAATTAAAAGTCATTTTCTGTGCAGCAGCATTTTACCTAGTTACAATGTAATACGATACCTATAACCTAAAGGTCGCTAGACAAGATATTGAAAAGTTGCTTTTATCATTTATGGATTTGACTGCAATGTGTCTAGTATGTTTCATTGTTTCTGCTGTATAAGCAGTTTCTCCTGCTGAGCAGAACTTTATCATCAACAGGAAAATCATGTCAGGTAAAGCAATTTCAGGAACAGGTATTTAAAGGTTGATTTAAAAAAAAAAAAAAAAAAAGTGTCTTTTAAAAATGTTATGTTACGAGTTTCCAAACAGATGCATGGTGCAGTACAACTGGTATCTGCAGATCTGTTTCCAAGGGATTAGAGTCAGAATTTCACTCAACCTTCTGAGAGATTTCTAAAAATGTATAATTGCTAGCATTTCTCCTTTCATCTCCATTTCAACATTTTTCTCTCTTGGAAAAACTGAAACAATATTCCTCTCCCTCTTACATAGTTTTGCCATGCCAAAAAAAATAGCCTGTCCTTATTCTACCAAGTCCTTTTTGTCTGCACCTAGCCTGTAAATTTTGAAGAAGTCAAACATCACTTCAGCGTTTTGGCTAAGCATGTCAGACCACTAGATGGAGATAGCACCATAACACAACAGCCAATAAAACTAATTAGTCACTCTTCCTGGGCAAGAACACCAACATGCTCACATTATTTTGATGAAGAGGTGGGGTTTGGGGAAGGGGGGGCTATGAGCAAAACTATAGTAAGATTAGCACATGTCTTAATAAGCATGCCTTCTGCTACTTCATGACAGTACTTTGGTACTGCATTCTGACAGCACTTTGGCAAAATATTCAGAATCTAAAAGCAAAGGCTTAAACCTGTTTGAAATCAACAGCTGTCTCCACCCACTAGACAAGTGAGTTTGGCAGAAAAAGATCTGATCCTTTGCATTTCTGCAGATTGAAACCAGAGACCAACAAACCAGCACAAGATGCAAAAAACCTAAAACCCTAACCAAGCGCCATGAACTTGAAAAAAAAAAAAAAAAAAAGTTATATTCTTGAAGTGAGCAAGGATAAAGGTTCTGCTCTGCTATCATCAGTCAAAAGGCTCTCAATTAAGAAAATCAGGAGTAAAACAGTTTAAGCTAGCCAAACCTCTATTTTAAGAGCACGTGCTTTGATATTTAAGTCGTTTGTTCCTAACAAGCATCCAAAAAGTCTAACTTAATTTAAATGCATTTCCTTTTAGTACAGGCGTCCCTCGTTTTATGCTGTACATGCGTTCCTGGAAAACAGTGCATAACTCAGATTCACATAAAGGGCACCCACTGTACAATGCAACAAATATAGATACGTTCCAAGACCTCAACTGTACCGATCCCCAGACCCATTTCTACCACACTTACAAGACAATTTTGGTACTCACCAACAGCAGACAGTACAAACAAGCACAGGACACTATCATAATGGGGATGGCAACTACAGAAACAAGTGTTGCAGACAACAAGCGAGACTATATTTTGGTGTGCGTCACTCCCACAATCCACCACACAAAGCAGCTGACTGCAGGCTTCCACCACACCATTTGTATAAGAGTGAACTTACCTCACATATAATGAAGCTTTGGTATAAAAAGGGTCATTGCATAAGAGCAAATTTGCACATACAGAACCCGCATAAAGTGAGGGAAACCTGTATTTCATTGGGATGTCACAAAACCCAGGCATTAACATTTGACTCAGTCATTACCTCTTGAAAATCTGTAAAGTTACATACCAAGAACATTTCATATTAGCAGCATCCCATGCATTTTAGTCATGCTGATTCTTTAAATCAGCAAGACCTCAAAAATAATTAAATATTGAGTAAAAATACAGGTAGGTTTCTGAACTCTCTTGACCTCCATCTAACCCTTTAATATTTTGAGAGTCATTTGGCATTATTTCATATAGTGTACGAATCAGTACTTCAAGTTCCTGTTCTACAGAAGCATGACCTTTTTCAAGTTTGCACAAGACCTAGCTGATCTCCTCTGACTAGTCAGCCTACTCTCGCTTAAAATCCATTCACTGTCTTTCCTTCCTTCTAAAATAAGGAATTTTGATTCGTCACCTTTGAAGATCATTCTTTAACATATCAAACAATATATTTTCTAGCAGTACCAGTGTTTATATTCCATTTGCTCACTCTTTTCAAGGCATCCCTGGGTCTGGATTGCCCTTCAACTATTACCATAATAAAAATGTTAAAAAGTGATGGTCCCTCCATTACAACAATACATCTACTTCTCAAGGCAAAAACAAACATCTTTTTCCTTTTGTAGAAGTAGAAATAGTTTTGTGATAAGCATGTTAAAAAGACTTTGTGGTCCAGGGAACTGAACCAACACTCAGGGCTAGTTTGGTTCTACACCCAAATCTGCCACTGTCTCCCTACACAATCTAGCCAAGGTTAAATCTCAACACCCCAGTTCACCTTCTCCCTCTACATATCTGGTCTATTGAGTTATAGGCCTCTGAGGCAGAGACAGGCATATCAAACTCCCAAGAGACAGACAGCATGGATGTAAAAATCAGTTGGAGCTTGATCTTCACCCGTGACACTAGTTTTACACTGTGCTTAAGTAACGAATAAAATTTTATGGAAAAGACTCATGGATTATTACTTTAAGTTAACTGCCTCTTTCATTTGGAAAGATACGATGATAGTTTTCTTCCAAGAAGGATCCACTGCACATATGCTGCAACAGCTTTTCAATCATTTCAGAGATTTTTGGTATGCAGAGTTAGTCCACTAATAGCAACAGAACAGACATAGCTCTGAAGAGCTGCTATGTTTTTTTTTTGTCAATTTCCATACTAAGTAGTTTTTGACAAGATAAACTGAAACACAGGTGATCTTTAGAATCTGTACCCAAAAACCACACACACTTCAAAAAGAAGGGAAGCTTTGATGCATGCACTTCAGAAATACACAATTAAAGGAGTTAGAACATAATTAAAAACTAATGTCTCACTTAAAATAGACAAAGAAATACATAGCTAAGACTATCATCATCCTCAGGCCACTGCCTCTACCTTGGTACTGAAAACATTTCAGAGCAATATAGGTTTCTTGAGAGGACACAATAACCAGCCTCAGATAAATATGGAAGAAAGCATAAAATCTGAATTTTTTTTTGTCAACTTATGACATTCCAGAGAAAACTGAAAAACCTACAGAATTCATGAGAATTACTAATAAAACTAGCTCCAATTAAATTAATTGATTTAACGTGTTCAATTCTATGATTTTTCCAAAAAAGTATTTGATAGTTGTAATGCTTTTTCATGCGCTCTGACTAGATGACAAGCCGGCTACCGCAGCCGAAATAAAAGTGAATATTATGACGCTATAGTCAACCCCACTAGCTTAACAGACACTATCTGTTCAAAAGCAACACACCAAGATTTGTTCAGAGCCTCTTCTAGTCCACTGCCTATTTATAGCTGCCCAGCCTCTCTTCAATTTCCCGCGGCCCCTCCTCCTCACAGAGCCAAGTCAGTGGAAGTTTAATGGATGTCACCCTGGGCACCGTGCTTCAGAGTTGTTAAGGCGCACTCTGCAGCTCTGGTCAGCCATCCTGCTGGCAGATCCGCAGCAGAAACTAGCAGTAAAGAACTAAGGAGCGGGCTAACCCAAGCAAGAGACACACACGCACTCACTCTCCCCTTCACTTCTAAACCCTTAAAAGTCTCCCTCCCACTAGTGTATCATTACAGCAATACCCCACCCTCCCCCCAGACACTCACTGGCTCTACCCTTCATTTCTAAACCTTTAAAACAAAGTCTCCCTCCCACCAGTGTATCACAGCAGCAATAACCCCCCCCCCCCACACACACACATACACACACTCGCAGCAATAACCACCCCCCCCCACACACACACATACACACACACACACACACACACGCACACTCATTCACTCTCACTTTCATCTTTAAATCCTTAAAACAAACTCCTTTCCACACCTCCTCCCTCAACTAGTCCATCATCGCAGCAATACCCTCCACCCCAACACCCCACATGACGCCTACCTCCTCCCCATTCAGCAACAGCACCAGCGGGGGGGG